TCACCAGGATGGCGGCGCGCGGAGGAACCAGAAAAACGGCGCCAACATGGTCGCTGATTCGTCCGACAACAACTTGAAGGGCAACGGCGGTGCGGAGAAGAAGAAGGAGCGCACCGCGGGCCAATTCTTCCATGTAGGAGACAAGGGGGAGCAAGGAGACGCCTCTGCCAAAGTTGGAGCAGAGCTGCACCCCCTAGACTATTGGGTGTTGGACACAGGCGCTGCTTGGACGATGACGCCGCGCAAGGACCTGCTGGACGAAGTACGAGCTGCACCGATCAATGAAGTGTGCTCCGCCTCTGGACACATGTTGAAGGTGGCTGGTGCGGGACGAGCTGCGTTTAAGGGAGCGGATGGCAAGCCGGTGGTGCTGCACGACGTTCTCTTCGTCCCCGACCTGAAGGCCAACCTTATCTCCCTCCGTAAGCTTGGCAAGGCTGGGGTGAACACCAACACGGATGGGGCACGCACTTATAAGGGGAAGCTGGGCAATCGGGTGCTTTGGGATCTGCACGAGAGCAAGGACGTGTACAGATCTATGTGGCAGCTGCCGGCCCTGGCGTGGCATGGTGGGGGGCAGGCTGGAGAGGGGTCTGCATCCCAGGGGGAGTGCAATGCCGTTGGAGGGGTTGGTGTGAAAGTGTCGGCCAGATCTGGGGAGACAGATTGGGCAACGGCACACCGGCGCTTAGGGCATGTGGCAATGCCTTTGCTGAAGCAGCTGGAGAAGGATGGAGCCGTTAAGGGTCTGAAGCTGAACGGACAGCCACCCGATGACAACTGTGAAATCTGTTTGCTTTCAAAGTTCACCCGTTTCCCTTTCCATAGTGTGGCTGGCAGGAGCAAGAAGCCTTTGGAGCTGGTCCACATGGACTTGGTGGGGCCGCTGCCGGTGCAAGGGCACAAGGGGGAGCGGTATTTTCTTACAATTGTGGATGACTGGAGCAGGCTGATGTGGGCGTATCCGCTGAAGCAGAAGGACCACGCCGCCTCCACGATACGGGACGATTGGCTGCCATTCGTGGAGAAGCAGGCGGAGTGTGTAGTGAAGCGGATTAGGACGGACCGGGGTGGTGAGTTCCTTGGAGCTGAAATGACGGCCTGGCTCAAGAAGCAGGGCATCCAGAGAGAGCTGACCACGGCTTATACCCCACAGTCCAATGGTGTAGCAGAACGGGCAAACCGGACCATTCTGGAGACAGCTAGGGCGCTGCTCATAGAATCTGGGCTGAGCAATTCTATGTGGCCTCATGCTGTCCGGCACGCCACTGTCGCTAGGAACAGGGTGCTCACCAAGGTTGGGGATGACTCGTGGGTGCCGTTGGAGAGGTGGCTTGGGAGGAAGCCGCCGGTGGACATGCTGAGGGTGTTCGGTTGCATGGCAGTCGCCCACGTCCCCAAGACCTACCGCAGTAAGTTGGGGGCGAGTGCAATCTGGTGTGTGCATTTGGGGCTGGCTGCTGAGAGCAAGGGATGGCTGCTGTGGGAACCATCCAAGGGTGTGTTGTTTGACAGCAGGGATGTGAAATTCATTGAGGGCATGATGTATGGGAGCTGGGAGAAACAGCCGGAGGCAAGGGTGTCCCAGCAGATGGAGCAGATCACCATGCAGCTGGACCTGACTCCTAGTGTGTGGGAGGAGGGAGAGGAGGCAGCTGCTGGAAATGGTGATGGAGAGAAGGTACAGGAGGCATCTGCTGGTGGAGAAAATGGTGTGGAAACTGGCGGCAGCACTAGTGGAGCTGCTGGACCCGAGGGAGGAGAGAAGCAGCAGGGAAAAACTAAGAAGCCGAAGGGTGTCGTTATGAAGGGATGGGAGACACCCGTCTCCAGGCCAGGACGTACCCGTATGGCTACTAAGAAGCTGACTGCAGGAACTGATGCAGCAGAGCAGCAGCTAGGGACCAAAGAGGCATTGCTGATTCTACCTCATGGCTATGACCCGGATGAGGAGGATGAGCCTGCGTACTGTTTTCTTGCCCCTGCACCAGAGGAACCAGCTAGCATGGAGGAGGCATTAGCTGGACCAGATAGGGACAAGTGGCTGGCTTCTAGGGATGCTGAGTACCAGAGTCTGCTGGAGAATAGGACATGGGATCTGGTGGTGCTGCCTGATGGGAAGAAAGCGATACAATGCAAGTGGGTGCTGAGGATCAAGACCGATGACAAGGGGCAGGTCACCATCTACAAGAGTAGGCTGGTGGCGAAGGGGTTTATGCAGAAGGAGAAGCAGGACTTCAACGAGATCTTTGCTCCCACTGCCAAACCCCCTACCCTCCGTGTCTTGTTGGCAGATGCAGCTGTTAGTGGGAAATTCATCATTCAGATGGATATTTCAACGGCATTCCTGAATGGGATTTTAGAGGAGGATGTGTACATGACGCAGCCGCCTGGGTATGAGGATGGTACGGGCAGGGTGTGCAAGCTCAACAAGTCCATCTACGGCTTGAAGCAGGCGCCACGCTGCTGGTACCAGAAGTTGGCAGCTGTTTTAGAGGAGATGGGATTCAGGACCAGCAGCTGTGATGAGAGCCTCTTTCTCAAGGGCGAGGGGGAGAAGCTGGTGCTGTTTCTGGTCTATGTGGACGACATTCTTCTCTTCAGCAGCAGCATGAAGGAGATCCAGAAAGTGCAGCAGCAACTGATGGAAAACTTCAAGTGCAAGAACCTTGGGGAGGTAAAGTACTACCTCGGGATGCACGTGGAGAGGGATCCAGATCACAGGTGGTTGAAGCTGCACCAGGAGAAGTTCATCAAGGAGCTGGGGGAGAAGTATGGGATTGAGAATGAGCGCAAGGTTGCAACTCCCCTGCCAGCAGAATTCAAGCTTGTGAAGGCTGCAGAGGATGAAGGGGTTGAAGCTGAAGAGCAGCAGCAATTTCAGTCCTTGGTGGGCAGCCTCTTGTACGCAGCAGTTCACACGAGGCCCGACATCTCTTTCTCGGTTGGGCAGCTGGCTAGGGTGGTGCAGAATCCATCAGAGGAGCAGGTGGATGCAGCTGAGCGTGTGGTGAAGTACCTGAACTCTCACCCAAGCATTGGAGTTCAATACTCCGCATCTGCACAGGTGAAGCAGAAAGGGGTGGAGGTGCTGAAAGAGAAGGGGGAGAGGCTTGGAGAAGGCAAGCTATTTCTCACTTGCTTTACCGATGCTACGTGGGCTTCTGAGAAGGAGGATTCCTCATCTGTGGGAGGATACATCTGCGTAGTTGGGGGAGGACCTGTTAGTTGGAGGTCCAAGAAGCAGACGGAGACGGCACTCTCTTCCGTAGAATCAGAGTACATGGCGATGTTCCATGGGGTGAAGGAGGTGATTTGGCTGAGGAGGCTGTTAGAGGAGATTGGCCAGGAGCAGAAAGTTGCTACGCCGCTGTTTTGTGATAGCAAGGGGGCTCTTGGGATGGCCAGAAACGCTGTGCTTCATGGGCTGAACAAGCACATGCGTATCAAGTGGCACTGGCTGCGTAAGGAGGTGAAGAGGGGGACGGTGCATCCGATCTACATCAAGACTCACCAGCAGCCAGCAGACTTTCTCACCAAGAGGCTTGCGGATGAGCCTCATTGGCGTTGTGTGCGCATGAGTGGAATGAGCATGAACTAGCATGGAATGACGGGGATGCAGCCGGCAGGCTGAGGGGGAGTGTGTTGGGTGCAAATGCACATTGCACGACATCCTGCCGTCTGTTTGTACGAGTATGCGTGTGCGAATGCATTTGCGTGTGAATGGTGTGTTCGTATGTTTGTTTGCTTTCGCATTTTTCGCTTGATGCATTTGCAGGTACTCGCGCAATGTGCGCTTTGGCACAACATTGTATGCGCTATGAACAGTGCAAGCAGAAAGGACGAGCTCGCAAAGGAACCCAAGATGGAAGCTTTGCAGTTCGGTTGAGTTGATTGCGCAGATTCAGTTCTATCCAACTCGGAATTGTACTGTTTTGTTTGGTTAACTATAGTGTAGCAGGGAAGGCACTATAGGGGTACAATTTAGGTGAAGGTTGGATGTTGTTTGTCTGTATCTGCATGCTACAAGGCCAGGGGAAACCAGCGGAACCAGTATTTGGCTGGTTGGGCAAAGACAAAACAGGTTCTGTTTTTAGAACCTGAACCTGGTTGTTGTTTTCCCAGGTTGGAAAAACAGAACTAGAGGTTGTTTACCAACCTACCACCTGCTATTTTGTCCAGCCAGGTTGGTTCTGTTGCTTGGAATTATTTGGGATCATCCCTGGTTGTTCCCAGGTTGATTCCCAAGGTCCTTGCTAGCTAGAACTATTTAATCCTTCTCTGTTTGTACCTGAATATAGTCAAATTGATTCAAGCGAATTCCTTCCTCGCTGGAATTTCGTTTCTGCGCTATTCGACGGCGGAATGCTACCCGAGTCAACGCTAGTATGCTAGCACTCCAACGCTAGGCAAACGCTGTCCGAGCCATAACTTAGTAATGGCAGAACTTTTCGCGAGGCAACTTGGCTCATTTTAAAGCTCTTGGAGCGAGCTTCGATATAGCGAATTCTCAGCTTAATCCGACCGACGGTCTGCACGGCACGCTGCGCGACGTTCAAGGTACTCTTGCTGTTTTGACTAAGTCCTTCTTGATCCCTCTCTCTACAAACTCGGACCCGAGGATAGGGGCTGGTCTTGTACCAGGCACCCAGGGACCCTTGGAGGTGACCCCGAGGAGAGGTTTTAAGTTTGATTAAGTCCTAATAGCTTGAGTTTATTAGGCCCTTACACCAACACTCGTCTGGTACGGCTGCCCCACCTTGTCCGCCCCCAGATACCGTAGCAGCCACGTGCGCCGGTCCGCCATCACGTCCGCAAACACCACCCTCTCCACTACCCCGTTGCTGCATCTCTGTCTCCGTCTCCTCGTCACTGCCCTCCTCCCCCTCCTCATCGTACCCCTCCACTGCTGGTACCAAACGGTCGCACGGCTCCTCCCCTAGCACCATGCGCTTCACGCACCGGTACAGTTGCCCTAGTGACTTGCTGGGCTCGAAGGTCTACTGCTGCTTGTCCTTCTCCATGAAGTCGGGGTACTCATGCACACACACCTCGCGTGGCATCACGCCTGCCATGCTTGTCTTGGGAAAGTCAAACGCCAGCGTGGCCTGGCAGGCAAGAATAAGGCTCGCAGGGTCCAAGGCGCCCCTGTGGCTGCTGTGGGCGTGCATGACGTAGGTACTGCAGATGATGCCCACGCTGTCGTTCAGCATGTGGTCCACCAAGAACTAGGCCACTTCCTGCATAGGGGGTGCCGCACAGCAGGGCGGGGCGTTCAATCAAGTCAAACGCCATGTGCTTCACAAAGAAGCAGCGTATGCGGTAACACAACATATGAACTCCGATTTTTCCTCAGATGTCCCTTTTCAGCCTTTCCTTCTCATTCTCCTTGTACATAGGAGCTTTGAGCTCCTTGAACTAAAAAATCAGCTGAAGCTCAAGTTCTTCCACGAGCAACGTTCATACGAGTACCCAAAGCATGGAGCCCACGCACACACCTCCATTGTGATGGCAGCTTCGCTGTCCTTCTTAGCGGGCTGCTAGTCCATGGGCTCACTGCTGCGCCCTCCTGGTGGCAGCACGCGCTTGTCCCACGTGATAAAGTACACGTCCCCGTCCATGTCACTGCCTCATGCCTCCTTGGCATGTGGGCGCGAGCCGATGAGATGATGCAAAACAGCAGATCAACGGCTGTGAGCAACCGCAAGTCCCCCGATTGCAGGCAAGGGTTCTTGCCAAACACCACTGGTCCGTTGACCACCCGTGGCGTCCCCTTGCTGTGGCCTATGCTGAGCAGCCTCAAGGTGGCGGTGGCGCTGGGCGCAGGTGCGGTTGCATCGCACACCTCGATGAAGCTCTGCCCGTACTGCTCGTTGGGCATGGGGATGAAGGAGCATGGAAGTCATAACAAAAAAAAGTATACATATGGAATACGGTGATGTAGATGGCATGCTGCAGCAGCCCTTTCTCATCCACAACGACCATGAGCCAGTGACCGTCCTTCACGAAGTTGTGTGCGCGGGAGATGAGCCCTTGCAGCTGCACCGCCCTGAGGGCCGGCATGGCAGTGTGTGGTGGAGAGAGGGGGGGATGTGATGAGTGAACGACTGAGCGGTGCCAAGTTGACTCAGGCGTACAAAAGGCGAGGTGCAAGGTTCAAGCATGATTGTGGGCATTATCATATAACGTGGATGAACACATGGCATGGACGATCAGGTACTACAAAGCACCCATGCGTACCGCACGGCTTGAATGATGCATTTGAGGTGGGGTTCCTGCACGAGGTGGAAGGCAGCGCAAAGCATAGTGATGGTGCCGCCGTGTAGGTGGTCCGTGCCGCTCTCCTCCAGCAGCTGCATTGCCGCCGCCCCACTGCCCACCGCTGCCTCTAGGCACTCCACCATCGTGTCATGTAGCCAAAGAGGATAGGAGGGAATGGGGACGGGAAGGGGAGGAGAGGAGGGGGGAAGGGAGGTGGGGAGAGGGGAGGTGGGGGGAGGAGAGATGGGGCGGCGGCAGGATTTGAGGCGCCTCACAAGTCTCCTACTGCTCAACGGTCCCTCTAGACTCTCCAGCATGTCGTCCTGCTCCCAGAGAGGGTTCTAGGTGGGGGGCGCACAAGCCAGTGCGGGACCGGGGAAAGGTGGCACGGGATTCAGTGATGCGCGCATGCTGTAGTGATGGACGGAGGGTTGTAGTGATGGGCGGAGGGTTGTAGTAATGGGCGGAGGCTTGTGGTGATGGGCAGAGGCTTGTGGTGATGGGCGGAGGGTTGTGGTGATGGGCGGAGGGTTGTGGTGATGGGCGGAGGGTGCACAAAGGAAGCGAGCAGAGGAGCATTGGAGGCACAGCGCGTGTCCATGTGGAGGAAGACATGGTCGGGGACGTTGAGCGTGGAGAGCAGTGTCACAATTCGTCGGTTGAGGAAGCACGGCTGTGGGCGCGGCCAGTTCACCACATCCACGTCAGCGTGCTGTGCCTCAAACTTGTCCATTCTCTCCTGCACCCACATGTGCACCCCCCCTGCTGCTGCTCCACGCCCTGCCTCGCCGCCTGTCTGCCGTACCCACACCCACCATGCGCCCGCAGCCCGCACCTCCTGCTGTTGCTGCTGCTGCTGCTACCATGCACTCATGGCTGGCCTGCTCGCCAGCAGCACCAGCAGCCCCCTGAGCCTCCACACGCTCCATGACCCCCCACGGCCATGCGGCAACCATGCCCTTCACCCCCGCATAACGGATCTGAAACGCTGACGTCGCCCGCAGCCACGCCCCCGCGCCCCCTCCCATGGGCACGTGAATGCCGTGAGGGGCGGGCGATAGCGGGCGGTCAAGGTAGGGCGTGATGGCATAGGCGAGCGCCCTGGTGGCCTCGGGGGACACGCCACCAATGCCGTCCGTGAGGCAGTAGCCGTGGCACATTACGTCAGGGAGATTGGGATGTTGGGCACAGGGGAGGGGCAGTGAGGTGAAGCGCGAGGAGAAGCATTGCCCCATGCATGCCGCACTCTTGGCCACGTTGCGGATTGTGGTGATGGTGCCCATCTACGCCTGCCGTCATGACCCCACTCCAAACCGCCGTCCCAGCACAGCATCGGCAATATCACCACCACACCCCCATGGCTCACTCAAAACGACATACCCATAGAAGCACGCACATAGACAGACAGAGACGCAGACACGCAGGCACGTACGCACGCACGCATGCACACAGAGAGAGATAGACTGACTGACACGGCAGTGGCTTCAAACGAGTGAATGACAAATAGGCTAGCAGGTTGATAACAAACTGATTGACCAATCACTTATGCCACTAACAGATAGACAGACTGACTGACTGATCAACATTTCGGCTGACTGACAAACCAATGGTTGCTTGACAAACAGAGTACTAGACTGGCCGAATTCATGGTCGACTGACTGGCTCTGACTGACTGAGTCACGCATTGACTGGTGACTGACAGACGAACCATCACCCCACCAGCACGGTGGTGACGGTGAGGCCCTGGATGGCGTCCTTCGCCGACTTCTCCCGACACTGTCGACGCCGGAAAGCGGTACCGCCTCCCACACAGGTCAACGCCCTGCCAGGGCCAGGCCACATACGGGGCGAGAAGGGTTCATGCACGCAAGGGGTCGAGAAGTTCAATGGTGAGGGCTATGATGATTGGGCCTGGAAAATGCAACTCTACTTCCGTCAGATTGGATTGCTGAAACTAATGATTGGGGAGGAGCCTAGACCGAGTGACCCCGCCCTGCAGGAAGATTGGGACGAGCGCGCCTCGGCTGGCTACTACTTGATGTCGCAGAGTTTGGAGCTGAACCAGCGTTACCACGTCATGCACCTGCTGCCGGAGGTTGAGTGCGGTCCGAAGGCGTGGACCGTGTTGAAGGAGCTGCACGCCCCTACCTCCGTCGCCGCAACGCTCATGATGGAGAGGGAGTTGTCCGCGTTGCGCCTGAGCGAGGGAGAGCCGGTGCAACCTGTCTTGGACAAGATGCGCGACCTCTACGCGAAGCTGGTGATCGAGGGAATCACCTACCCGGAGCAGACCAAGTGCTTGAAGATGCTGTCGCTGCTGCCGGAATCGTGGCTTCAATTCACGAGCAGATTGAGCCTGCCGCAGAACCAGAGCTTGTGGATGCTCGAGTGGGTGCGGACAAAGATTCTGGAGGAGGATTTCCGTCGCCGCCAACTGAGGGGTGGAGACGACGGCAGCAGCGGGTACGGGATGCAAGGGAGCCGACGTGGCAGAGGACGTGGCTTCGGTGGTGCTGGACGCGGTGCAAAGAAGGACGACGACTCCAACGACCAACAAGGAGGTATCGGTTGGGGTCGCGGTGCGAAATCTGGACGTGGGGGCAAGTCGGGTGCTGGTGGCAAAATGAAAGGGAGTTGCTGGTATTGTAAGAAGGAAGGGCACTTCTGGTTTTTGTGCTATAAGAAACCCGATGGATGGACCCCCCAGAATCGTCACCAGGATGGCGGCGCGCGGAGGAACCAGAAAAATGGCGCGAACATGGTCGCTGATTCGTCCGACAACAACCCGAAGGGCAACGGCAGTGCGGAGAAGAAGAAGGAGCGCACCGCGGGCCAATTCTTCCATGTGGGAGACAAAGGGGAGCAAGGAGACGCATCTGCACCCCCTGGACTATTGGGTGTTGGATACAGGCGCTGCTTGGACGATGACGCCGCGCAAGAACCTGCTGGACGAAGTACGCACTGCACCGATCAATGAAGTGTGCTCCGCCTCTGGACACATGTTGAAGGTGGCTGGTGCGGGACGAGCTGCGTTTAAGGGAGCGGATGGCAAGCCGGTGGTGCTGCACGACGTTCTCCTCGTCCCCGACCTGAAGGCTAACCTTTTCTCCCTCCGTAAGCTTGGCAAGGCTGGGGTGAACACCAACACGGATGGGGCTCGCACTTATAAGGGGAAGCTGGGCAATCGGGTGCTTTGGGATCTGCACGAGAGCAAGGACGTGTACAGATCTATGTGGCAGCTGCCGGCGCTGGCGTGGCACGGTGGGGGGCAGGCTGGAGAGGGGTCTGCATCCCAGGGGGAGTGCAACGCCGTTGGAGGGGTTGGTGTGAAAGTGTCGGCCAGATCTGGGGAGACGGATTGGGCAACGGCACACCGACGTTTGGGGCATGTGGCAATGCCTTTGCTGAAGCAGCTGGAGAAGGATGGAGTAGTTAAGGGCTTGAAGCTGAACGGACAACCACCCGATGATAACTGTGAAATTTGCCTCCTTTCAAAGTTCACCCGTTTCCCCTTCCATAGTGTGGCTGGCAGGAGCAAGAAGCCGTTGGAGCTGGTCCACATGGACTTGGTGGGGCCACTGCCGGTGCAAGGGCACAAGGGGGAGCGGTATTTCCTAACCATAGTGGATGACTGGAGCAGGCTAATGTGGGCGTATCCGCTGAAGCAGAAAGATCACGCCGCCTCCACGATTCGGGATGATTGGCTGCCGTTCGTGGAGAAGCAAGCGGAGTCTGTGGTGAAGCGGATTAGGACAGACTGGGGTGGTGAGTTCCTTGGAGCTGAGATGACGGCTTGGCTCAAGAAGCAGGGCATTCAGAGGGAGCTGACCACGGCTTACACCCCACAGTCCAACGGTGTAGCAGAACGGGCGAACCGGACTATTCTAGAGACAGCTAGGGCGCTGCTCATAGAATCTGGGCTGGGCAACTCGATGTGGCCCCATGCTGTTCGGCACGCTACCGTGGCTAGGAACAGGGTGCTCACCAAGGTTGGGGATGATTCGTGGGTGCCGTTGGAGAGGTGGCTTGGGAGGAAGCCGCCGGTGGATATGCTGAGGGTGTTTGGCTGCATGGCAGTCGCCCACGTCCCCAAGACCTACCGCAGTAAGTTGGGGGCGAGTGCAATCTGGTGTGTGCATTTGGGGCTGGCTGCCGAGAGCAAGGGATGGTTAATGTGGGAACCACGCAAGGGTGTGCTGTTTGACAGCAGGGATGTGAAGTTTGTTGAGGGCCTGATGTATGGGGGCTGGAAGCAACAGCCAGAGGCCAAGATATCACAGGAGATGGAGCAGATCACCATGCAGCTGGACCTGACTCCTAGTGTGCAGGAGGAGGGAGAGGAGGTAGCTGCAGAGGGTGGTGATGGAGAGAAGGTGCAGGAGGCACGTGCTAATGGAGGAGGTGATGTGGAGACTAGTGGTAGCATCAGGGAAGCTGCTGAATCTGAGGGAGGAGAGCAGCAGCAAGGCAAAGCTAAGGTGCCTAAGCTACCACAAAGGAGGAAGCCAAAGGGTGTTGTAATGAAGGGATGGGAGACACCCGTCTCTAGGCCAGGACGCACCCGCATGGCAACAATGAAGCTGACTGCAGGAGCTGATGCAGCAGAGCAACAGCTAGGAACCGAGGAGGCATTGCTGATTCTGCCGCACGGCAATGACCCGGATGAGGAGGATGAGCCTGCGTACTGCTTTCTTGCCCCTGCACCAGAGGAACCAGCTAGCATGGAGGAGGCATTAGCTGGACCAGATAGGGACAAGTGGCTGGTTTCTAGGGATGCTGAGTACCAGAGCCTGCTGGAGAATGGGACTTGGGAACTAGTGGTGCTGCCTGAGGGAAAGAAAGCGGTACAATGCAAGTGGGTGCTAAGGATCAAGACTGACGACAAGGGGCAGGTCACCATCTCCAAGTGTAGGTTGGTGGCTAAGGGGTTTATGCAGAAGGAGAAGCGGGACTTCAATGAGATCTTTGCTCCCACTGCCAAACCCCCTACCCTCCGTGTCTTGTTGGCAGATGCAGCCGTTAGTGGGAAATTCATCATTCAGATGGATATATCAACGGCATTCCTCAATGGGATTTTAGAGGAGGAGGTGTTCATGACGCAGCCGCCTGGGTATGAGGATGGTACGGGCAGGGTGTGCAAGCTGAAAAAGTCCATCTACGGCTTGAAGCAGGCGCCACGCTGCTGGTACCAGAAGTTGGCAGCTGTTTTAGAGGAGATAGGGTTCAGGACCAGCAGCTGTGATGAGAGCCTCTTTCTCAAGGGGGAGGGGGAGGAGCTGGTGATGTTTCTGGTCTACGTGGACGACATTCTTCTCTTCAGCAGCAGCATGAAAGAGATCCTGATGGAGAACTTCAAGTGCAAGAACCTTGGGGAGGTAAAGTACTACCTCGGGATGCACGTGGAGAGGGATCTGGATCACAGGTGGTTGAAGCTGCACCAGGAGAAGTTCATCAAGGAGCTGGGGGAGAAGTGTGGGATTGAGAATGAGCGCAAGGTTGCAACTCCCCTGCCAGCAGAATTCAAGCTTGTGAAGGCTGCAGAGGATGAAGGGGTTGAAGCTGAAGAGCAGCAGCAATTCCAGTCCTTGGTGGGCAGCCTCTTGTATGCAGCTGTTCACACGAGGCCCAACATCTCTTTCTCGGTTGGGCAGCTGGCCAGGGTGGTGCAGAATCCATCAGAGGAGCAGGTGGATGCAGCTGAGCGCGTGGTGAAGTATTTGAACTCTCACCCAAGCATTGGAGTCCAATACTCCGCATCTGCACAGGTGAAGCAGAAAGGGGTTGAGGTGCTGAAAGAGAAGGGGGAGAGGCTTGAAGAAGGCAAGCTCTTTCTCACTTGCTTTACCGATGCTACATGGGCTTCTGAGAAGGAGGATTCCTCATCTGTGGGAGGATACATCTGCGTAGTTGGGGGTGGACCTGTTAGTTGGAGGTCCAAGAAGCAGACGGAGACGGCACTCTCCTCTGTTGAATCAGAGTACATGGCAATGTTCCATGGGGTGAAGGAGGTGATTTGGCTGAGGAGGTTGTTAGAGGAGATTGGCCAGGAGCAGAAGGTTGCTACGCCGCTGTTTTGTGATAGCAAGGGGGCTCTTGGGATGGCCAGGAACGCTGTGCTTCACGGGCTGAACAAGCACATGCGTATCAAGTGGCACTGGCTGCGTAAGGAGGTGAAGAGGGGGACTGTGAATCCGATCTACATCAAGACTCACCAGCAGCCAGCAGACTTTCTCAC